AATACAATTTAATGGAGTCATATCATCTAGTTGTGTAGTAAGAAGGTGAGTTTGTAAATATCCCAGTTTGTTATTAATCAGCATAAACATGGTTGTTTAGATCGAGGGATTTTTACCTGGGTGTTAAGCTGTTACAGCAAAGGTGATTGGTGCAAATGCTTGTCAGGAGTTCTTCAACCTTTTTAGTGCATAGCTGTCAACCGTCCCTTATTTGGCGGGAAACTCCCTTATCCCAGCGCTGTTTCCCGCTGCTGTCCCGGATTGATGATGTCCCTTAAATTTCCCAGGTTTCATGCTCACCCGGCTCGGGAGGGAAGCAGCAGCTCAGGGTCCTCCGCCGCGAGAGAACGAGAGAGAGAGCGCGCACAAGCTACCGCGTCCCCGTCTCTCCCTTTTCCCCCTCAAGGGCGCGTCGTGAGGAGACGGGTGGCAGCAGGCGGTCAGGCAGCCACTCTCTTGCAATACTTCCGCTGCGCTGCCAGGGGAAGCCAGAGGCGGCAGCGGCGGCTGAGGAGGCGGCCTGAGGGAGGAGGAAGAGGAGGGGATGGGGAGGGACGCAGAAGGGCATCGCTTCAATGGCTGCCACGGCGCCACAACCACCTCATGCCGGGCTCGCAGGCGGTGTGGGCGAGACTCTCCCTCCCTCCCTGCCTCCCTCTCTCTTGGGCTGGGAAGGGCTGATGGAACTCCTCGCACCAGGACGACGGCAGCCCCGACGTGCTGCTTAGCATACCCTCCAACAAGTGCAGCATCTTAATGTAGTGATTTGCTCCTTTGCATCCCTTTCATAACTCTATTTTTATAAATCATTTGTCCACCCATAGTTCAAATTTTTACTACAAGTTTTCTGTCAATCCTACCAATGTATGTAACTCTTTACAAATAGCTTTTCAAATAAATTATAAACTTTCCCCATTCTTTGTTAAAGAGGTCCTCTTCCTGGTTTCTAATTCTGCCTGTAAGCTCTTGACGTCGTTCATCAGTTTTGTCTGCCACTCTTCTTTGGTCAGAGTTGTATACCCTTAGGATCATCCAGTCCAACCCCCTGCAAAACACAGTCAGTCGCAGCCAAAGCAGCCTGGCTCCATCAGTGCCGGATTTCTGTATAAGCAAAGCAAAATCCCTTATTTTGGCTCTGGTCCCTTATTTTTGAGGCTGCTGGTCCCTTATTTTCAAATCTGTAAGTTGACAGCTATGTTTTAGTGTTTTCTGTCACATTTTGCTACTGCCACTATGGGGGAACACTAATGGAAAGGTTTCTGCCGTGATTCAGCAAAACTATAGGCCCAGCTTAGGGAGAGCCATATATATGTACAGTTAAATATTTTGTTGAGCTTTCTGCTATCCTGTAGCAACTTGGGCTGCAAAAGAGGCAAGATACATTTCAGCTTAAAATGTTCAGTTGAGAAGAAAGCCGTCTCATTCAAACTGCAAAGAAACAATTATTAAGCGTTTCTCCCTGTTTTCATTGAGGACTTGTGCCATCAGGAACAACCAGTAGCCCTTGGCTGGGTTAGGTCCATGGCCCAGTAAACATGCTGCTCTCAATTTGTAAAGCACAATAGCCAACTAGGTGATACACAACAAAATAAGGAGCTAGTGGGTGCAGCAGCTTATAGCACCGCTTAAAGTGGTGGGATTTTTAATTTTTCACAATATTTTCAATTACTATTCTTTCCACATATCTCACTTAATGTTGTTTTTATAGAACGACATGGTATTGTTTGGAGTCGATGTGTATGCTTATCTCAGACTGTTAAAAAAAAACAAAACAGGAATCATAGTTGAGTGTGATAGCTATCTGCACAAGAGTATTAGAGCACAGTGTGCTAAAGGAGAGCAGATGCCTGGCATTTGTAATGACACGATGACATTTAAAGCTTGCTACTGGGAAGCCAAAGGCACAGAGGGAAATAATGCTGTCTTTAAATTGCACACTAGGCGCTGAAACTGAACCAGTTCATCATGTGAGATTTATGGCTTTGTAATCAGTCAGCTAAACTGATGCATGCTAAGATGCCAAGCAGAGGAAAGTTGTAAAGGTTTGGCCAGTTGGGATTGCGGTCAGCAAACATTCTAATCCCCAACTCTGGATTTCAGATAAATCTTCTCCACTGGTAATTTTAAAAAGGTTCCTTAAAAAGAGAATCAATCTAATTTGAACTGTTACTGATTCAACTGTGAAAAATGGCTGTAAGGTCTTCCATTTAAAAATCCCCGAATACTTTCGATTATCTCATTCAACTGTTGGAAACATCTGGAAACCATTGAGTCCATTGCTGGACTGGTCCTCTGCAATCAAAAGTCCTCTGATTATTATGAGCAGCTATGCTGACATGGGCATTTAAAACCTCTTAATCACAGTCTCGTGTGCTCTTGTATTGGGTAACCCTACAATTACTAGAAATAAAACAGTAACCATCAAAACTAGACACTTAAGCTGCACTTGAAAGTGATTCTTTTTGGCTGTTTGTTCTCTGCAAAACATTATAACGCCCTCCCATCAGATGTCAAGGAAATAAACAACTATATGACATTTAGAAGACATCTGGAGGCAGCCCTGTTTAGGGAAGTTTTTCATGACTGATGTTTTAATGTCTTTTTAATCTTTTGTTGGAAGCCGCCCAGAGTGGCTGGGGAAACCCAGCCAGATGGGCGGGGTAGAAATAATAAATTATTATTATTATAATTATAAATATTGCTAGGACTTGCAGAATAATTTTCTGAATTCTGAGTGCAGAAGGGTTTGTTTTTTTTAATTAACGCTTTTAGAATAAAACAAGCAAGATTTACTAGCAAAACCATGGGGGAGGGGAGAATGCTGGCAAAAGGAGTATGATGGATTGCCAAGGTATCATATACTGATTTTGGTTTTGTCGTAATTTGTTTAAACTTTTTTGTAATCTGTCCTGGGAACCTGTTGAAAGGCACAGTATATACCTGTATGATAGGAGATAAATATATGTGTACAGTGCCATTTGCTGTCAGGCAAAAACTTTTGTATAAGGCAACCAGGTTTGTAAGAATTGGTTCACTATTTGCAACAAGTTGTTCACTCAGAGATAAATACTGCTATCTGATCCTCAGCCCATTGATATATAGAGGGAAGGAGGTTGCAGACCAAGCCTCTTCTTGGCTGTCATGAGGCCTCGAAGAAGCTAATCCCAATGACCATCTGACAGGCCCCATATGACAGTATGTGAACATCTGTAAAATTCAGTTCTATTCAGAAACCAAAGGCGGTGAAGTGCAGACTTCTGGCCCCCAAAGAGGCATTTATAGGGAAGCTCCACATCATTTGCACTGGAGAACCTTGTCCATTGTACACAGCTGCCCAAGTAGGCTGTTGTTAGGAGCTGGAGTCAGGAGTAAATCAGAAATAAATAAAAAAACCCCACCAGCATCAGTGAACTAAACTCTTTATTCAAAGAAACCAAAACAGAGCAGGCCTAGTGATTCCACCAACTCTTCTCAATAGGTCTTAGGTCTTGCCCCAATGAAGCAGTTGAGAGGACTCAAGTCCCCACCTCCCCACCACTCTCTAAGGCTCCTCCCCTGGTTCCTTGCCTAGCAGTCTAAGGCGCTGTCATCTTGTCTCTTGTTGCTCTGCCCTCTTCCAGGGGGAGAGGGGAGCTGGTCGCAGCAGGAGGGGGAGACTCCTTGGATTTCTCAGTAGCCTTCTTCATCTGTCTCCTGGCCCCCCTCCTCTCCTGCTCTCTGTTGCAGCCTCTTCCTACCCATTAAACCCTGTTGCGTGTTCACTGTCTGACACTTCCTCCTCCCACTCTGCCCCCTCTTCTCCCTCTGACCACACCCCTCATTGTCCCACCACCAGTCCCCTGGCTCTGAGCCATCTTCCCCTGGGGAGAAGATGAGGTTCCCCCAGCTGTTGCCTCCCACCAGTCTTCTGCATCAAGCCAGTTCATGACAGCTGTCTACACAGTATTTCAGTGCAATGTGAGGAGTTTCCAGCGGATCCTGAGTTGACAATCAGTATTTGACAAACTGCAGAATTCAGATGTCGAGCTCTAAAAGGTTTAAAAACAAAAATGTGATAGCTGGGATGCTGAAACCTAAGTGCTGAGCAACAAGGATATGAAGGAGAAAGGGGGGCTATTGCATTTGTGGATCTCCTGGAACAGTGGTTCCCAGTTAGCAGACCCAAGCCATGGACCATTTACTTCTGATTTTTTTTTTGATATCTCTACAGTAGTTTGTGTCCTCTACTGGGTCTCTACACTAGGACCTGCCTGCAGGTGTGCAAGTTGGGCAGGCAGCATTGAAAACACCTACTGCCCCAGCTAGGCAGGCACCAGTTGCTAGGGCAGCGCTATAAAACCTGCCCTGGGTGCCTGCCCATTCACCAAAGGAAAGCACTAAAGGGCGCCATCTCCTTGGGGGTGGCATTTGGGGGGGTGGAGCGAGGGCATGGGCCATCCCATTAAAAAATTACTGTTTAAATCGGAATGGGGCTTTTAACCCCATTGGGTGGGTGTTGTTTGTTTGTGTGGAGGGGCACCAGTTGGGGACCACTGTCCTGGAGACATTTTATAAACTGCTGCTGGCAATGCATTGCTGGACTACATGGATCCTTTGATGGATCCACCAAAGCTGCTTTTATGGTTTGCACAGAGAATGTGTAATAGCGGATGGAGTCTTGTGTGTATGTGCTCCTCTGATAGGGAAGTGGTGCAAAACATTGTGTAGTTTTGCCTTGTGTAAGGTGGCAGCCACCCACCCACTCTTCAGAAGGGGTGTGATTGAACAATGATGCACAGCTGCTAAAACTACCATAAATTGGTTTTATGTGGTCTTAGGAAATACGGCTTCCAGATTCAAAAAGGGGATATTGGGATTCAGCCTGTTTTGGAATGCTGGGATCCAGCCTATTTTATTTTATTTTATGTTCCTGTTTGTGAAGGTCCCATCTAATCTGAAAGCTGAAAAAGAAATGAGATAGCATTCAGCAAGCAGGTTCATTTACACAGGTACATTTTATATTATAGCTTGGTTGGTAGAGCATGAGACTTCATCTCAGGGTGATGTGTTCAAGCCCCATGCTGGACAAAAGATTCCTGCATTGTTGGGGGTTGGACTAGATGACCCTCGGGTCCCTTCCACCTCTGTCATTCTATGATTCTATTTTGTTAACCAATCTGTTAGAATCATAGAATTGTAGAGTCGGAAGGGACCCCAAGGGTCATCTAGTTCAATCCACTGCAACACTTATTTTGCTTCCATTGGAGGAGGGGGTGGCCTGGAGATCAGAGAGTGGGTGTCACCCTCTTGTCATGGTCAGATCACTTCCTTGTGAAGTTTTGACTTACAGCTCTGATCCTCTTCTGCAGGAGTGGTGGACAGATTAAGATGATGTGCCTCCAGAGACTAATGGAATCCAGTGAATTCTGAATGCCCTGGAGGAGTTTTCAGTAGACAAAGCAGATGACTCTGTTGAAGGCATTGCCATGCTGTGTGAATAGCTCTGGACATCATTGCCCCTGAGTGTCATCTCTGGCATCGTGGAACCTATTCTGAACTTTGGTGCACCAGGCAACTAAGGCCAGACAGCTAGCATGCCAGTGGCAATTATATGAAACCATGGATTAATATCCTGGCTGGTTCTGGAGCCGTTAGCCATAGTTTCCTGTTTTGGATGAATCAGGAAACTGTAATTAATGGAAGATTTCCTGTTTTGTTTGCACTGGCTACAGAGGGGATGTACTTCAAAGGGGCTGCATTCTCATGGATGCCCTATAGAAATGAGTGACATTCCTGGAAAGTTGCTTCCCACATCCTGTAGGAGTGTTCCATCATGTTAGTCCTACCTGAAGTCCGAAGTGATACAGCCCAGATACAGGTATCCGATTGCCTCCTCAACAAGATCTAGACAGAAATGGTGACAGAATGTTTAAAGCTGTAAGGCAACTCGGGAACTAACTGATCCTTAGTTCATAAAGGGAGAGAACATTTTGAAGTACCTTTGAAAGAGCTTGTTTCAGTAAACACGTTCTGAAACCACAAGCCCCTGTAAGAAGCTGTAGTGGCCGCCTCAATATAAAACAGGATGAGGAACGAGACAAGCAGGGACAGCTTTGGGTCTGTTCCTCCGTCTGCCTCATTGGAACTTTCCACTCTGATCTCTATTTTGGTTTATTTAAGAATGCTATTGAAACCAGAAAAAGTTCCAAAATGCATGCTACTTTAAAAATAAATAAATCATTATTTCATTCTCTTTTAAATTCCAGGTAATGTTTTCAACTCTTTCAACAGATTTAATATTTTAATCCTGCCAGGATCATGGGAAACTGGAAACAAATGAGGTTATATCATATACCGATTCCTCTTGGCCAGAACAAGGCAATTTCTCTATCAGTAATGTGATGATGGCATTTCCTGGAGAATGTTTTCCTCCTGCTGCTTCCTCAGGACAAAGCAAAGACAAAATTATGAACACTTTAACATCATTCAGAGTCAGCTAGGCCATTTAATCAGTGTATGCTGTCTCGCTTGACCTTAGCTGGACAGAGTGTTGCTGTGGCAGGCAGTCTTGCTTTCCTGGAGTTCTATTTACAGATTTCTATAAAGCCAACATACTATTTTTAAGGCAATCTGGCAACTGTACTCTCAGCTTGTCACCACCTGGGTATATTTCAGTGAGGAATCTTCAGACTCACTTTGTGACATCATTGTACACTTGTGTTAGTTTAGATTTTTGTATGTTCGTAGTCAAAAGAGGCTATAATACAAATTTTACCGTGTAGTTTTGATGCTTTTAAGCTGCTTTGTTTGTACTCCACACTCAATATTTTGTTCTGTAACTCAGAAAGTTGTAAAATGCTGCTGTGTAAATTGTAGTTACTATATCTGGTTGTAACTGGAACCCCTTTCTCTGCTCAGATAAACCCTTTTGCAACCCTTACTAGAATACTGTATACATAAGAACCAAGACTTTCCATGTATATTCAAAGCTTTCCTTTTAACTAAAATGGCTTTATTAAGGAAGTTTCAGTTTCCTCTTAACACTTGGGATGAGCCATAGAACTGACCACCATGAACTCAAATGTCAAGAGGAGAGAAATTATGCTGTCTAGTGGATGAACAGTTGTTGTCTGTTGGATGGACATTTAGAAGTGTTGCCATTTCTACCACGGACTCCTTGCTTGGTCTTGGATAAATTACAGCAGCTCTGACTTAGCTCTCCATAAAATAGTTGTGAATATGAACACAGATTGCCTGATTCAGCAAAGAAGACCCTTTCTTTGGGAAACAGGATTATACATGCATAATGATGCAGATTCATACTATGGTGCTTATTTGAATCTAATTGAATAGGCTCTCTGTCTGGTTTTGCACCATCAGTGAAAACATGTATACCTATCCAGAGCCATTAGATTTTGTATAGGCATACCTGAACCCAATTGGAGATGGCCAGGTCAGAGCTAAAGTAGAGGTACCCATAGTAGATCGGACAGGTAAGGAGATGAGAGAGAGAGAGAGAGAGAGAGAGAGAGAGAGAGAGAGAGCGAACTCTATGTCTAATTATATTATGCTTAGAAATTGGGCTGGCTATCTCTCCTGCTCAGCTAAACACATTTGCTGACCAGTGTATTCCTGCACTCAAGCATACTGGGATCTAGTTTGTTGATCATGGATTTACTTACTTGCATTTACATATGGAAATCCATTACAAATGAAATTAAAACTAATTTTAACACTTTACTATAGCTTAGAAGAGAAGTGTGGTTGCCTAGGCACTATGTTGAGAATTATGAAGGATGGAACACTTTTTGAAATTACTTTTCAATTAAGCCCTTCTAGGCTCTGGGTGGTTTAGGATGTTTTGCTCTGAGGAACTCCAACTACTTGCCCAGTTCCATTTTAGCACTCAGTGATTACCTGGCAGGGTGTGCAGGGGTGGGCAGCTAGTATTAACACACTTAATGCTTTTACTGAAAAGAACGGCAGTGAAATAACTAGCAATTACGGATACTAAAAATAATCAGAGGTATATTGAGAAATGTCAAAAAATCCACCCACACTTGTTATCCCTTTGCTGGAATTATATTTGTGATTCTTTTTTTCCCTCTGGTGAGGGGGAGTAGATTGCATTCTATCTATATCAGAAAAGCTTTTGAATGCTGTGGTATTTCAAAGTTGGGCTGATTTTACGACTTTGTGAAGATCTACATTTGTGTTCTTAAGCGGGGGAGGAAAAAGAGAGAAGACAGATGAGACCATCCAGCTCCAGACTTCTGACTAAGGTGCCCTCTCCCTTCTCCAACTGCCACCGCTGGTCTCTCTGAGGACCCTGAGGAGAGCTCTAGTTTTTCAAAAGTTCTGCCACCCCCCTTGCAGTTTGTCATGGCTGGTTTATTGTATGGCTTTAATTATATTAGAATTTCAATGTAAACTGCTTTATGAGGTCTGCCTGAAAAGCTGTACATAAATATCTACAAGACAATAAAGTCTATTTAGGTTTAAAATCAATGCATACTTGACTGTATTTTGGACCAGATGTTTTTAGGTATTGGCTTAGACCTTTTTTTGTATTTAATGCCAAACAACAAGTGATAGTCAACTGAGAGATGAAGGCTGCCTCTCTTAGATCTGCTGTTCTTCATAGTTTCAGGCGTGATTACTTCATGTTGAGGCTACTCTGGCTGTACATTCAGTTGAAGTTTCCTTGTATTGACGCTTTGCAGACTCAACTCATTCACTCACTTACTCTCCTTGTCCTCTCCCTTGTGTTGAAGTTTGTCATCAAAGGGGAGAAGCATTTTGATACAGCAACGAAGAATTCATAAGGAAACTGAATTTTGTCCATGTTCTTCCTGACCAGGGAAGCCTGGCAAAAATGGAAGTTTTGGTTATTACCTTTAAAGTCCTAAATGGCTTGGGACCAAATTACTTGAAGGATGGGCTCATCCTGTGCTAATCTCTCCATCATATCGTATCAGCTTTTGTGCCTCTGTTGCATGCACCATGGCTTTCTGAGGTGCAGTTTGTTGCAACATGTGACAGGGTTTCTCCCGGGTAGGTTCTTGTATTATCTTCCTCTCTATTTGTGCCCACTGGCAAATGAATACTCATTCATTCATTCAGTTACATTCGCATGCTGTCCCTGTAAGATAACTTTTGGGGGGCGGCTTACAATGAATAAAAGCAACTGAAAGACAAAGTAAAACATAAATCCATTCTTTAAAAAAGTGAGAGGAGACTACATAAAAGCAAAACATGTCACATTTCCCACATTAAAAAGGTTTAAAACCAGAGGACCAGTTTGCTTAAGATTTAAAAGACTGGCATGAACAGAGAGGTCTAGTACCAAAAAGACCACAAAGACTATCCCATAACCAGGATTCTACTACTGAAGAGGCCCTCTCCCTGGTAGTTTAAGCAAACTTTGGATTGTGAGGTTGCCTTATTTAATTTATTGTACAGTTAGTTTTTCCTCTTGCTCTTTGATTCTGCATTTAGTCTGGAAATGGTACCTCCTCAGCATGCACATTTAAAGAAGTAGCTACTGTTTTTCCTTTTTGCAATTAAATATGAATGTAAAAGCACATGATCGAAAAACGTATGTCTATAAGTTTATTTTCTGTTTGTGTATATATTTTGATTCTCCTTAAAAAAATTTTTTTTAAGGAATTGTGTTTGAATCATAGAATGTTATTGTTTTATGCCTCTTTATATTTTGCAAGCTGCTTCAAGCATCACCTTTTTGGACGGAAATAGTGGGGTATATCTTTGTATCTTATGTATATCTTTGTAAAAGTAAGTAAATTTGTCTGGCTGTAGGTTGTCTGAGGACAAGTCAAGAAACCACAACTCTGCACACAGCTTTTCCTGTCTTAGTTTGTAAGGTTCACAGATATGGTCCGCCTCTGTGGGAAAGTTTCTGGCTCCCTGGCCCTGCCTGTAACCTGCAGGAGAACTAGGTTCTGCCTTATAAATTTAAGGAACAATGTCCATGCCATTAAAACATGAGTTGAATTGTCTCACCCCTGCTGCCTTTTAAATTTTAGTTCTGTGATTATAACTGTGCAATCTAAGGAGGTGTTTCATTCTTTCAACCTCGTGGCATTTAGCAGTTAGGAATAACCTCTTGTACTTTGAAGGGCGGAAAGTTTGGGAGGAGTAGATTACATGTGGCTACAGAAGCCCATTGCTAAAAGGTGCTTAGAGTGACCCC